GATTAACGTCGCTTTTTGACCAAGTGAAAGAACAATAAATCAATCGTTAATTAAAATTTTATATTAATATTTCGGATCTTGTTTATAATAGTAGAGTTTCTCTATTCGCAATACAAATTATTATTCGAATTACTCGTTTTATTCATTTTATTCAAATTATTCGCTTTTTATTCATTTTATTCAAATTCGTTTTATTCAAATTACTCTTCGTTTTTATTCAAATAAAATAAAAATTATTGTACATTTATTTATTGTTATGTTATGATTGCTATTTGGTATGTAGTACCGAATATTTGAATTCATCCGAATATGATAAAGTCCCGTACTAGTACATATTCGTATTAATATTAATATTAACAGAATCGGTTCCCGTTTTTTTAACTAATTTTTATTTTTTCTTTTAATCAAAATGTATAAACAAAACAAAAATAAAATAAAAGGAGAAAACGAAGCTGAAAAATAATATGGGTAAGTGTTGTTTGTCATAAGGATGGTGGTGGTGGTTATTGCCACTCGTCGTCACTCTAGTTATATACATAATGAACAATCAAACTTTGTATTTATTATTTTAACATGTTTTGTGTCATGTCTCATCAACGCGTCTCTTTTTTCTTGATTTTTTGCAAAAACATAAATACGTATACGATAACTACACCGATTTCTACTTCAGCCAAGATAATATAAGGGAAAGATGCAAGCATCTTGGAAGAGCTGGGTCGAAAATATAGCACAGGACAGCTTATTGAATATTTGAAGAGACAAAAAAAAAATTTTATGAAACCGATCATGATATAATTGTTGAACAGAAATTACCTATGACGAGAAACTTAGAACTTTCTAATTGTATGTGGGTCTGATTCATTTCATCGACACCCATTTCGTCAAAAGTTTGTTTCATCAAAAGTTCATTTTGTCACAAAAAAAAAACTTCTTTAAACAAATTTCTCCTCACACTTTCCACACACCCCGCTTTCCTCACCTAATTTCTTAACTAACTTCCCACACTCCTCACATCTAACTCGTTCAGTCTCTGGCTCGAGGATGAAATGATTTTCGACGAAATGAACATTCGATGAAACAAACTTTCGACGAAATGATTGTCGACGAAATAATTTTCGACGAAGTAAACGCGACCAAAAAAAAAGATAATAAGCCAAACCTTACAACATTAAATAAGATTTTATTATCTGCAGATGAACAAGTTAAAAAGTATATGAGTGAAATTGCATATGGGCAAGCGTAAGATGGTAAACCAGGTATCATAGATTCCCGAATTCTTATAAAACAATCGCCTAACTATTGTGACATCCGGAAAATATAAAAAAATTTTACACGTGTCAATTGTAAGTTTAATAATAAAAAAGTGTAAAACTTACGTCGGCACTGTAAGATTTACACAATATTACGTCGGCATCGTAAGATTTATGCAAGTTTACGCTAAATTAATTTCCTGATGGACATTTTAAATGGTCATGTTGTTATGATAATTGGTTTTCAACGTCTTATATCCAGATTTGTTGGATCTCAAAATATTCATTTTAGTTTACTAAAAAAAGTAATTCTTGTTAGTTTAGTTCTATTATAATCATTCATTCTTATTAAATTTCAAAGTGAGGGTTTATCAAGCAGAATTTTGCTCTTGAAAAAATTCTCAATAGAAGATTCTTTTTTTGACATTTCATCTATAGATGTTCGTCATAATTATTATTAATATATGATCCGTAATGCTGTTATTATAATTATTATCAGCCAGTGATCATTTCATATCTGCTGCAATTACATGTAATGTTACGAAAGAATTCAAATTCAAATTTTCTCTTCAAATGTAACTTTTAATTTTTACAATATTTTTTTATTTTGTCAAAGAATGTAAAAATATGTATTTTATTATCTTATGTCTTATATTTACAAACTTGTACTTAAGTGAATACAACAGATTTGAGAAGGTAATTCTGAGATTATTCTTCAAATAACAGAATTATAGGGTTTTAATATAATAATAGGATTTTACTTGTTTGTATCAACAACATTCATTATCAATAGAAAAGTTATTTTATTTGAAAAATTCCAAGTTTACTTTGAGCCAATGTATTTTTATTAAATATGTATATAATAAAGATAATAAATATAATAATTTATTTAAATAATTTCTTTTTTCTTTTTTATACGTTGATATATGTAATCAACTAGTTTTTTATGTTCCCATCCTGTTCTTCTTATAGCATCTATAATTTGACTTTCGGTTGGCTTTTCAACAAGAGGGTCAGGTATATTATGTTCATCAAGTGTAGTGATTTTTCTTTGCCTTTTTGAACTGTCAGCATTAGATTCTGCATCTTGAACAGAAGAGCATTTTTTATTAGTAGATAAAATTTCTCAAATAAACTATTGTTACTTGAATTGGATGACCATAATTAAGGAATCATCTGCAGTGTTGAAATTTCGTCGTGTGACCAATGTAAATTTAGTAATTATATTTTGAGATTTAAATTTTGATTGGAACGTGATGTTACACACGGGCATTGAATTTCAACACTGATCATCTGAGATTTAATTTGTAATTTTGTTTTTCTTATTATCTGCATCTTCAAAATTCAACTGTATTTATTAAGAATTTGCTTGGTAAATTTACTGTTTCTTCAATGAATCTTTGTGATCTTTCTTTCAATCAGCTGTTAAAAAAATTCATTAAGTTTGATAAAAGGCATTTTTTTGCAGTAGAATCACCTGAATTTGCAACATCAATGATCCAGTTGCCTTTTTTTTTTAAAGCTTCTTCTGAATACACCATTTTCTGGTAACACTTTTGGCAAATATAACTTGGAGTGTTATCATCTTTTCAAGTAAAGTGATCATTTTGTTTACCTCTTGCAATTTCTTCCTAGCAATTATGACATTGAGAACATAAGCTGTGACATCTCAATCCAACATGATTTTGCATTGAGGATAATAGGTAGTAAATCTGTCTCATCTCCCATTGCCTTTATCTTTTAAACTCCATATCCTTCATGGTCATTCTAACTCTTTATTTTTAACCTTTTGTAAAGTTTCCCTAAAGATTTTCTTTTTATTTCTTTCTCAGTCTGCTGTTTTTTTTCATCTAATTCTTTTGAATTAAATTTTGAGAACAATCTCAACAACAGTATTCAATATGTTCTCTTTCTTCTTCATCTCATCAATTAACCATTAAACCTTCTTTTATATTTTTACAATTAAAACATTCTTTTTTAGTCATGATTTTTTTATTTATATAAACATATTATGTAAAATATCTTTATAAAAAAAAAAAAATCAGTGTTCAACCATGGTTGGTGGAGCATTAGTATTGGTTTTAGAAATCTAGCTACTTATTGAGAAAATGCCAAAAAGAAAAAGATAAGATAGATAATAAATTTGTTCCTATCATTTTCCATTGTCTAGAGGTTTCCATCTCTTGTTGGATAATAGCACACTTTCATACTGCTTTCTTTTCCTAATGTTTATTATTTTTCTTTCTTCTTGGTAAATTTCATAAATAATCCTTTCTTTTCTTAGATAAGATTCAAGTGTCTGAGTGTCATTTATTTTGAAAATATAAGGAGCAATTTTTTCACCTTGTTCTTTCTTCAGAATACTTCTAATAGCTATAATTCCTGGGTTCCATAGTAGATCTGATGTAAATGAGTTTCATATTAACTATTTTTATATAGGAGTAGTTCTATACATCACTTAAGATAACAAATGGGATATTATAAAACTGTTAATAATTATAATCACATTATGAAATGACTAAATTTTGATCCCTGAAACCTTTGGTATTACCAATGTTCACTTAGTCTGGTTTTGTTGCAGCATGCCCCATTTATCTTTTTTATTTTATTTCATTTTATTTCTTAAAGCTAAATTATAACAATATTTTGAAGTAATAAACTTTTCGCAGTTTTTTAATTCTTGTTAAATGGTGATATTGCAAGATGGTATGCCTTTCAATTATTTAACATATATGGATGATTACAGCTTAACTTTTGTCAATGATTCAGCACTAGTCAATTAGTAAGCCTACAAATTTACTTTTTTGTGCCTAGAAAGCTTTGGCAAATCTTAGGGGTGCTAGATAATTGTAAATAAATAGATATGGCTCTTTTACAAAGCTCAAAGGCTTCCATGAAGTTCATTATGATTAGTTTATTTCATTTGTTATATTTATTTGGCTAATTGTAAACTCGCTTTGATTTATTTACAAAACAACTTAAGCAGCTTGTTTAAAACCTTACATTTACAATTACAGAGTATTTTCAATTAACCTTAAGACAATACTTCATTAACTGTTGTTAACATTCACTAGTTAACCAACATTAGTCCTAACCCTTGCTTACTCATTAAAACAATTACACTGCTAATCATCATTAACACTCACTATTGTTGCTTACTTTCTGAAGAAAATAAGACATGGCTTTTTACCAAGGCATTGCACAACATTTTTATTATTAAAAGTTTATTAACAATAAGGATTGATTTTATTTAAAATGATTATCCTATTACAGAGTTTATTTTATTAGAGTATTTATTTTTCTTCTGCGAGAACTCAAAATTGTTGAATTTCTACAATATTTATTGTTCTTTCAACATCATACAAAACATTCATTTTATTTTTTTTTGATCCCGTGCTTCCCAAAAATTGACATTAATGTTAAATATTTCTATACAACACTTTACAAAGAATCCAACACAAAATCATGAAGCATATCTAACATCTATGTGAATTAGGGATGGGAAATTGCATGAAATTTCAAAATTTCATGCGCATCATGCGCATTTCAAGTAAAAAATAATTCGAATAAAACGAATAAAACGAATAAATTCGAATAAGGCAAGTAATATTAATATTAATATTAATGTTATTGGTATTAGTATTAGAAACACTATTGCTGTCGTCCACTGTATGACAATTCAGTAAATCTTTTTTATCAGGGGCACTGATTGCATAATAATAATAATTTTTTGATTTTTTTGATTTGAAAATGTCTAAACTTTTTTCTTTTTGTCAGGTTTAGAATTGTATATAAAAGTTTTTGATTATTATTTATGGAAGAAGAAATTAACAACAACAACAACAACAATAATGTTCCAGATGTTGTTGACCAAGGAGATGATGATGACAATATTGCGAATGAAGAGCTTGAAGGAGTACTAGAGGCTATTGGGATGCGAGGTTCTCCCTGGGTACTTGTGCAAAATTCTGCATTAATGGCACTTTTGATTTCAATCTGTTTAGCTTGTTCTGTTTGGATTCCTTACACCATTGGAAAAACTTTTCTACTGGTAAAGAATGATTTTTGATTTTTTAACTTTTTTCAAAATATCAAAATTTATTTATTTTATTTTCTTTTATTTTGTAAGATAAATCCAGTAAAATTGATACAAATACCATTATTAATTTTAAGAAGGATTACAGACCCAATAGTTGATTTTTTTATTGATATATTAGTGCCATGGATTTTATCTCTAATATAACACCACACATGCGCAGATTAATAATAATAATAATAATAATAATAATAATAATAATAATAATAATAATAATAATAAAAACTATAAATTTTCATTCTCCTCAACTCATGTTAGTTTACTAGAAGATTTTTTTTTAAGACTCTTATCCCCCATATACCTTCATGCAAAAAGAATACTAATAATAATAATTAAACATTTTGTAAAGAAAAAAAATTTTGTGATGGCAAAAACTTACTTCAAAAATCTTGACATTCTCTCATCAACAAGGCAGAAATGAAGACACACTATTATGCCATATGGAGAAAATAAGAGAGATCAAACAACTAATAATCCAATTTGACAATAATAATAAAGTTAAAATCTGCATTGTTTGGATTGATTGCCAATGTGAATTATTATTATCCAGTGGAGAAAAAATCACATGTACAAGCACAAAAATTATTATTATTTTATATACTGACTGAAATAATAATAATAATTAATAATATATAGAAAAGAGTGAGAAGAAAAGAATACCCATAAATTAAAAATTTATCACTATTAATTAATTGAAAATTTTTTACATTTTATAAGCATTATTTTATATGATATACCTTATTGTTTTTTTTCAAATTTGACATTAATCAATATATACAATTCTTTTCTCAACATGTAATTAAAACAAAAATTGCTGACATTGTTGATGATGATGATGAATGTGACAGTGGCAATGATTATGGTGGTAATCAACAATTGGCAATAATATCAGTTGTTATAAAGAAAATTTATATTATCTGCCTATAGAAATTCCATTAGCATCAACAAGAACCAAATCACCAGATTTTAAAATCCCACCACCAATCTAAGAGTTGCATCACTGCCAGGTTCACCTTGTTCTATTGCTAAATCTTCAAAAACAGCAGTGGTGGTGTTAACGTTGTTGTTGATAAATTGTATATTGTGGGTGGTTGTTGTAGTGTCATTTATTGGAGTGTAAGTTTGAGTGGATTTGTCATAATATGAATAGATTCCAGAGTATGTGTCGATCCATAATTGTCTTTCAGGATGATAAAGTATTGTTCCTCTGAAGTTGCTATATAACCTTTAAGTGAATATATTTTAGCTCTTGATCCATTATTATTATTCAATTTGTCTTTTAATTGTCTTTGTTTGTTGTAAGAAGAATTATAATTATGAGTGCTGTTGTCATTTATTGATTTAATGGGTTTGTCTTTAAGTTCTTTTTCAAATGGTGATTCTTGTTATTTTCTTCCTCCTCCTCCTCTTAAGCAAGCTCCTCACAGGATTTGATAGAGTTTCGCCTTTTGGGTTGAATTCTTGAGATTTTATAGTCGTATTGTGATTTTGTTTGTTAAACAAAAAAATTTTTTTTTTCAAGATAAACTGTATATATTATTTCCGAACAAATGAATGTTGATTTATTTTTTTTAAAAAATTATACCTTTCATAAGAAGATTTGCTACATTACCAATCCAAAATTATAAAAATAAACTTCTTTTACAAAGAAAAAAATGGACGATTCAGAACTTCAAGCAATTAGACAAGCTAGATTACGTGAATTACAAGCACAAAATTCATCAGCAAGTACATATATAAACAATGATTTAAGTTTTTAAAAGTGTAATTTGTTTACTCAAATATAAATCTCTCAAAAAAACTCCCGATAATTCAAATAGGGTAGCCAAAGTGAGGAGAAGAAGATGCAGAACAAAAACGGTAATGGAGAAAAGAATAAATAAATATATATATAAATACATAAAACGACTTTTCAACTGGCCAAATAAATATTTTACAGCCAAGTTACAAGCAATGGTACCGTTGATTTATATGAATAAATGAATATATATCCGTGTTATTGAATATATAAATTAAAATTATCAACTAAAAAAACTATTTTTAATTCAATTTAGTTGTCCCAAATACTTGATAATGAAGCTTGAGAACGACATGAGTTTCAATGATAGTAAAAGTTTAGATTATATATATGTATGTATACATATATTAATTATATAATAATTATAGTTGCAAGGATTTCAATAGTTAAAGCAGATAAAGCACAAGCGGTTGAAGATTTATTAATTTGAATGGTACAAACAGGTCAAATATGTGTAAAAGTTAGCGAATTGCAATTAATTGGTTTACCTGAACAGATTAAACAACAACAAAGGCCAGAAACTAAAATTGTGGTATTTGTTAATAATTAATTATAAAGAAGATTATTTGTTAGAAATAAAAGATTTTCTCTAAACATTTATTATTACTATGGTTAAATAAGTATAATAGAAGGAAATCTGGATATGATTCAGATGATGAGTTTTTTATAAAATAGTTAATATTTACATACAATATAATTGGTATGAAGTCTTTTTCTCATTTCTTATTTATAATTTATTTATTTATTAAAAAAAATATACATATCATTTATATTCTAGCGAGGAAATAAACAATTTTGTGATTGCAATTAATATTGAAAATTAAATACTAATAATTATTATATTTTATCTGATAATAAATAAATTCTCGAATACACATACATCCATCATATAATAAATACCTTATATATATACAATATATATTATACACATAAAATTTATAGGCTAATAATTTAGAATTGACAAGATAAAACTGACACCTAATGGAACACTGATGTTATCAGTTCCCATTGGACTAATTGCTTCCAACAATGTGCTCGCTGTTGCTCCAATCAATGCTCCGGTGATATAATTCCACGTGGAATTTAGTAGTGTTGGTGGTGACATTATCGACCAAAAGAACAGAATTGCAATTGCAGTAGTGACGAAATTTGCTAGAGATCCTTCAATGGTACGACGTTCGGAACGAGCTGTCACCACATGATAATACCTCTTCCCATAACGTTTTCCAATAATACTTGCAAATGCATCACCAAAAGTCATTGCCATGATACCAGCTAAATATATAAATATCACACTATGATAAAAAATAATCGTAATAATCATGTTTAACTATATTAATATATACCTATTGCAATATATTCACGTCCTCGAGGGAAACCATTTTCCCAACCTTCATGATAATATCCAAATAACAGTGCACATGAAAATGGAAAGTACAAGGTACCTAACGTTGCACCAGTTTGAGGGTCTAGATGAAATTCATTTTATACAAAATTTAATAATATTTATATAATAATTATCATAATTGTCATAATAATAATAAACATCACCCATAGATTTGAATAGCCTTATCCTATAGGATATATAGTTAAGCAGTACAAAACTAGCATTCAAAAGTACCACATACTCCCATTGTTCAAACAAATACAAAAGAAAAAACAAATAAGTTCCAGCGCCAATATGAATTATTTTACGTGAAATGTATAATGGTACATTGAATTTTCTTTGATATACTTCTACAGTTACAAGCAAGCCAAATATATAAGCATAAGATATAACAAGTGATCTTATGGTATTGTGTGTTGGTGTTGGTAAGAATAACATACTTAATGTTTACCCAGAAAATAATTTCAGTGGTACAGAATGGAAACTTTTTTTTATCGCCTAATGCGTACCATTATTATTATTGTAGAGATTTTCGAATGGACACAAGTAGTGGATCGTCCACGATTCAAAATCTTATCTCAGGGAGACTAAAAAGAGATTTATGTTCAATTATTCCCAATCCAATAATTTGAACTTTGGTGAGGATGCAACCAAAAATATGTATACAATAATTACTTAATATTATTATAATCCAAATTATTAGTCGTGAAGGACATTAATATTAATATCAATATATGAAAAATTTGGAGATGTTAATAATATTCTTATTGATTTTTTTAAAAAACCTACCTTAATACCTAAAATGTCGAGGCTTGGTTACTTAACCTGAAAATTTCCCAACGCCTCTGTTATTAACCTTCTAACTAAATCATTGTCGCGAAGTAATGGTTTCCAGGTTTATTTTATAAGCGAGATGCTCCTCATCTTTATTTCCAAATTCTAGTCCTCTAGAATTGACCAAATTCTAAGTACATATCTCTTAAAAGTAACTTTTTTATTTAACCGTTAAGACATTAAGTGGGTATGTTGATCAAAAACTAGGATGTGTCTGAAAGCCCAACAGATGCGGCTTGCGGGTTAGACTTTGTAAAACCACTCTTCATTTTTTTTTGCCAAAGGTGATAGGATGCGTCTTGCGGGTTGCACTTTTTGATGCGTCTAAACTGCATCAGGCTTTCCTTTATATTTTGATATTTTTATTCATATAGGAAGAAGTTAAATTGGGTGCAGTTAAAACTTTCTAGAATAATCGGCTCACGTTAAATTTAAAATGGTGTCTATGGTCTCAGAATTCCATGACGATTTGAGCAATGCTATTTATACAGAAACTCAAGATCTGGTGTTTTCATGTATATTATATTTTAAATGCGAATAATAAAGATTCGAAAAGAAAAATAGCGATTTTCTGTGAATGATGGAAAGAAATTCTGTTTTGACGAATCAGATAATAATAATATGAAGTCATAAATATACATAAGATTAAAATTAATTTGAACAAACCGATTATGTAGGTTGAGGAAGAAAATGAAAAATAGCAAAAAAAAAATTTTCGCGAGTTAAGGAGTCGACATATTTATCCACTTTGCAAACCATTTGGAGAACTTTCCTAGCAAGATGCAGAAGAATTATTTAATGAAATGGACAAGAATACAATTAATGAATTTGAACTTCTTACACGACGTAAAAGAATACCTCCAAGGTCTACTTAGTGACGACATTGAAAATGCGTTGTTGAAAATAGAAAAACTACGAACCAATTATTAATGTGGACTAGAGAAGCGCGCAGAAATTTTCTTCTTTATTATTATTACGGTGACTTACAAGTAAATGACAGTGAGAAGACCTGGTCGACACAGACTGTTTATCAACTGCTTCAGTTTTTTCGAAAAAGAATATCTGGTATTGCATCGCAAGTATTTTTCCTCCTTTTATATTTTGCTTTGTATATATATATTTGTGCCGGATTCACTAATATTATTTAATATTAATATTACTTCAGATCCCTGGTCACAGTGGTGAAATAATGAATGCAGCGCATAATACAATATTGATTATAATAAAAAACCATCAAATTCTGGGTGTGCAAGTAAAAATAATGCCATCGTGTACCAAGACGAAGTTCCTACAGTTTTGTATGAACAATCATATGGACCTAAATAATTCGTGCTAAAATACCAATTAGAGCAGTGTTGGCATTTGGCCGTGACCAAACAATTTTTTGTCCATTTGGCGAGCTAAAGCGGCCAAGGCTTTCTCAATTTGATATAAAACTGTCAAATTATTTGTTGGCCAAAACGGCCACAGCCAAATGCCAACATTGAATTAGAGATTTTTGCAAAATTGGTACGTAACGGAATTGAGATTTAAATTTATCATTTTAAACAAAATAGCAATTTTACAACTACTACTACAGCAGAAAATTTAAACCCGTTGCGATTCACAGATATAGGACATTAACTAATCCAACTTTATCTTTTTTAGAATCTTACAGACATAATTCGTATTAGCAATAGGGTTTACAAAGTACTCGATTGCAAAATCCCAATTTCATATTCGGAAAGATGGCATCTATTCAACCTTGCAAAGTTGGAACCTTCCTAGAGGTATTTCTTCTTTATGCATACAAAATATCTTACTCATTATTAAACTACAAAATTCCTTTTGGAGAAACTCCTTATTGAATGGCAAGATATTAAGCAAGAAATGTCAAAAGATAATATTCTAAATAATATTGATACTGATTGTGTAAACAGTTGGATAAAAATACCGGACAATGCTCCTAAAAAAACAATTAAACAAAGACGTTTCTAGTGTGGTACTGTTATTATATGCCTGCATGTATTATAATTAATAAAATTTTTCTGATGGGAACACTAAAAATTTTATTTATTTATTTTTTATATATAGATGAGTTCCCATTTGATAAAGGACATCTGAACAACTACCAAGATGAACATCAATGTAAATTTAATTAATAAGTTTTATTATTGTCTCCTTTTCTGCCACGTTTTTTTGATCCTGTATCATTATCATTATCATTATTATTATTATTGCGTCTTTTTTTTGTGTCGCAGCTTTCCAACACTACTTGATTTGATTCACACGAACTTGAATCATCATCAGATGATCCTACTTCACAGACATTTGCATTAACTTTTCGTCTAGTATTTTTTCTCCTGTCGACTTTATTCTTCTTTGAAGGTGTCGATGATTTTGTTTTTGTGTCTCTCCAAGTATCTATAACTTTTTGGATTCTTTTACTTTTATGTGAAATATTTTTACCACTATTACTACCACTATTGCTATTATTATTCCCAATTGAAATATCATGATAATTATCAAGAGCGGATTGTATTGTCGTTTTTTCAGACTAAAGTTTTAAAAAAAAATCATAATTATATAAAATTTAATAATCAATAACGATGATGATAATACTAGTACCTGCTTTTCAATCATAGTTCTTATAAGTGGTAAAAGTATCTCATCGGTTTTATCTTCATTCCATAAAAGTTTTTCTGCTAAAAATCTTTTTTTTAAAATAGTTTAAACGTTAATTAATCAATTACCAATTATTTAAAACCATTAATCTTTGAATCTTGAACATTTACTCTTGAAGTAAATCTATATCAGGAATTCCCCATTGAAATTCTTCAGTAGAATCATCAACTTGAGGATGTAAATAAGCGTCCCATATATGACGATTTGGAAAATTTTCGTTCAATATAAGACTTTTAAATTTTTGGCACTTGGAAAAAAAGTTCTTGTTAACTATATCAATCATAAAGATATTACAAGCAACAACAAGAACAATAAAAATCGGTACCAACAAATTTTTTCTTGAAATCGCTATCAATTTGTTTATCAAGTTTATATCTTCCACTTTGTACATCATTCCACCAATCTCTAAATTTTTCCAATCCATCTTCGCCTGGAAATTCATTCAAGATTTCGATTGCATTAACGATTCCTATTCCTGTCAATCCTTCTGTATAATCACTACCTAAAAGTATTGAAAGTTGGATCAATTTATTACGATTGATTTGCATTTCACGTTCTACCTCCTCCAAATCATAACGTTCCACATATTTTTGTTGATTAAACATATTTTTATAAACTTTACTCCCGCCAAATAAAAATACATCGCTGTCATCTGTAATAATCCCATCTACAAGTCCAAGAGTTAGCAATTCTGCACATTGTGCTTCTGCTTCCATCGGTGCAACAATAAATGGTATTCCAAATAATTGTAAAAGTTTCTAATTATAATAAATTACTTCTTTTCAATAGCAATACAATGTAATGATTTTAAATAATTTTGATTGATTAATTTACATACTTGACATTCAGTTATCATCGATTGCGTTATATTATCAGCATCTCTTTTTTCTCGCCTTTGTTTTTCATTCAATTGTTCAATTTCTTTAGACAGCTCTTGTTGTATTGAACTCAAATCTCTATCTTTAAGCTCAGATAAAAACCTAGCAAATTCGTTATTTTCTTCAACGATTTTACCCCCCTCGTCTTCTTCAATGGAGTCGATAACTGTGGTAATAACAACATCCTCGTTTCCTTCTTCTTTATCACTTATTTGATTTGAAAAATCGACTTCTTCAGTTCCGGGTATTTCTGATGACACTTCATCACCTTCAAACGAAGTTTTAATGCCTAATTCTTTATCAACCCTATTTGATGACATGTCTTTAACATCATCTTTAAAATCATTGGAACCCTCATCGTTTGAAATATATACGACATTAAGATCGTTGCAATCATTGTGACTTTTATGATAATGCTCGTCATCTTCATCAGAACCCAACATTTCATTGTTTATACTTTGTTGATTATTATTAATTACTGGGTCTAATAAAAATGTTTGTTTATCACCATTGTTATTTTTCAATGTATAAATATATCACAAATTTTCACAAAAAATCGATTGATTCATTCATTTATTACCTGAAAATTTTATTGATTCCACAATATCATTATCAGTAATTTCCAGCTCATCTTTTGGTGAAGACCTTGATGGTGATTCTCTTTTTGCAACAAAATCTGAAGAATCAAGTTCAAACGAATCATCGATACTTTTTTTAACTTTTAAAGCTGTTTGATAATCATCAACATCTTCGATAATTTTATAAGTTTTATCACCATCGTCATCATCATAATCTTGGTTCAATGGCGAATCTTCTTTTAATTTGTTATTGCGAAATTTAATAGTATTTGTCAAAAAGTCTTGCCAAAATTCCATAGCCTTAACCTTTTCGTTACCATCACCTTCTTTCGTCTTGCCCAATTTTTTTGAAATAGTATTTAATTGATCTTTTAAATCTGATTCATTCCATTCATATATAGCTTTATAAATTAAATCATTGTGATCATCGAATTCTTGTTGAAATTCATTTGACATGCAGGATAACCACATGGCATAGAATGAATCAACATCTTTTATCAAATCGTCAACAATAACATCATCATTGTTCTTGTTGTAGTTATTATCGTTTTTTAAATTCCTTTTTTGAGGATAATCTGCAATTTCGTTATCTTGGCCTACATCAGCTTTTAATGATGAACTTTTAAAGACATAAATTATTATTATTAAAACGGTTAATTATTATTATTATATTATTATTATTATTGTTATTAAGTTAAATATATTATGAATTACTCATTTATCACAAACTCTTCCCAATCATCTCCATCTTCATTTAGTTTTTTATTATTTGAATGTATAACTTCTTCGTAATCAGATTCTGAAGAATTTTCATCCAGTTTAACCGGTTTTTCTAGTGTACCCAAAGATTTATTTTGGTTATGATCTTTGTTGTCCTTATTATTATTATTAACAGAACCCATTCTCCACCCCATACTATCGTCATCGTTCTTGATTAAAACATATTTCTTATTTCTTTCAGATGCAATTCGAACAGAATTTGCTTCCAACCCTTCGTCAATGTTAAAAGTATGATTTGTAACCTTTAACAATTTTTGCGTTAAATCATTTCTTTTAACAAGATGTTTTATCTGTAACTTTGAAAAATCCAATGCAGTGTATAATTTCAAATTGTTAATGAATCAATTTTTTAAAAAAAAAGATTTTAAATAATAATAAAAATTTATAAATATCAATTAAATAGGATATTGGAGTATTGTATGTTATTTCTTGTATTTTATCCCAAGATAGTTGACGACTCTTTAATCGAAGTTCTCCAATTATTTCATATTGAGTTTCCGTTGAAAGAGATCGAAATAATTCAGAATCTATATCGATTCCGTCTGTCTAATATCATATATTATCAGATGAATGAAAACATTATAAAAATATTGATATTTGATTCATATTTATAACTGATATGTATACGTGTATATACAAACAAACACATGTAAAAAATGTACCTTAAATTCTTCAATAAAGTTATTCAGATCTTCATTAGTTGTAAATCTTGGATCATCTTTCGCAATCATAGTCCTAAGAAAGATTTATATATATGTTATCATTGAATAATTAATTATCGATAAAAAAACTCACTCTATTCCACCAGTTATAGGTGGCAAGTCGTATTCATCTTTTTTTCCATGTTTAAATATATCCTCAGCACTTAATCTCAATTCATCATTCATATCATCGGTTATTAATGACTGATTCTTTTTTTTGTTAGCCTTTGATCTTTTATTTATATTAAAATTATTGTATGTATAGGTTTTAATTTTTACATATCATTATAAATTAACACATACACATATTATTCATACTTTGAAGTTCCAGCCTCTTCAATAGCATGGATTCGTATTTGAGCAGCTAAAATCTTTTGTGCTGTTTTTTGTAAATCATTTTCAATTCCCACTCGTCTTTTCTTACGTTCCATCTAAATTTAAATAACAAACAAATTTATTCATTTCTCAATCTATCTATATAGCAAAGTCATTCCTTATATAAAGATTACTATTACTACTACTAACTAAAGTATGGCGTTTTATTTCTGGGGCTCCACCATCAAACACAAAGACAGGTTTGATGTTAAAAAAAAGTAATTTACATATCCTTCTAAAAAAACCTAATATATGTGCACTTCTAAGAGCATTGCCTTCCTTATCGCGCATTGCTTTTAAAAATTGATGTAACCATATGCTAGCATGTGTTATTATATAAACAATCTTGAGAACAACATATTGGTGTGTAAAATGACAAATGACATGATTTTTCTACAATTATATGACAAATTTTTTATAAAAAAGGATATCGATCGCAAGTCTTTTATTACTTAAAGACTCGAATCTTACTGGTCTCCCTATAGGTGCTAACAGACTCCAAAGACCTTTGACCCCCATTTATTATTTGAAAACTTCAATTTCTAGATGCCGATCATGCGTAGATATAACAAATATGATTTCTTTACATTTACTAAAACACCTTTTTATTTATTTATTTATTCATATAAAGTATAATATGTAAATATAAATATTTGTAAATATATCAATGTTTATTGTTTTGTCTAATGAAAAAAAGCCAAATTAATTAATGATAAAATGAGTAATAATATGGCGTATTAAAAAAAAAATGTATATATATTTGGTAATTAATCTTTTATATATATATAATATCTTATAAATCACGAAAACCTGTCAATCAAATGAAGAAGACAGTGTGAGGAAGCAAGAGAAGTAACAATAATAATATATAATTTAGGTGGTGTAGTAAAGATGATTATTATTAATAATGGTGGTGATGATAAATGATTATGATGATTATGATTATAATGATTATGATGATTATGATGATGATGAATGATGATCGATGAGTACCTTTTAAATATTTCATTATTCATTAAAAATTGCTGATTCATTTTGAACCTTTTCCTTTTTTGATCAACCATTGAAGAGTGATATCAATGTTTATTTGATTTTTTGCAGAAATAGAATAACAAGAAACCTCCCGATTATTAATAGACTTCAAACCCCTAAAATATTTGATAAATAATAATATTATTAAAATTGATATTATGAAGAAAATATAAAATTTCATGTATTTACATTTCTTCAATAAGCTTTTCGACAGGTAAAGCATTTGGTAAATCATTTTTATTTCCTAATACTAAAACTGGAATGTTTGCAAGTTGAGGTTTGTCCAAAAGACTGCGTAATTCAGTTCTTGCAGCTTCTAATTTTTCATGGTCTGCAGAGTCTACTACAAATCTAAAAAGAGTTTCAAAAAATACAATTTATATTTATATTTATGTTTATACACTAGTAATAAATAATATATTATTATTTTACTTACACAATAGCATTGACACCTCTACAATATCTTTCCCACATACTTCTAAATCTCGGTTGTCCTCCTATATCCCACAATTTCATAGTAACATTCCCTTTTGTTACTTTACGCATATTAAATCCTACTGTTGGTATCATATCCTCGCTAAATCTTCCTGCCTAATTAATAATAATATTTTATTATTATTATCATTATCATTATCATTACCAAGTGTAAATCTTTTTTATAGCGAGAAATGCAACTTACAGCAATTACATTAACCAAAGTAGTTTTGCCGCTATTTTGTAAGCCAACCAAGGTTAACTCGAGTTCTGTCTAAAAAATAAAACAAAAATAAAATTTTTCATAATTATAAGAAAAAGGAATTTGATCGCCTTCTCCCACTTTCTTCTCCTTCTTTCCACACCCACTTTTTCTTTTTTAGATATTATACCTTGAAGAATAAACCTCTAAGCCAATCCAAAAAGGATTTCAATATGGAAGCCATGTTGATAAATTTTATAAAAATATTTTAAAAAATGTTTCAAAATAAAACAGGCACTATTATTTATTATTATTATTTGTGTTGTCGTCATGTTACACTGAATTTATCCTAAAAAAAATCACGAAGTGCTTTTATATTCTTTTTAGATAATGAAAGGTGTTTTTATCTTTTTAGGTAATAAAAAAGTAGGTTTTTTTACTTTAAAAAGAAAAAAAAGGCAGAGATCCTTTGAAAAGATTTAGAAACGGCAGTATGATTTCTGAGGGAATTATTTAACACTATTAAACCGCAAGATTCCTCGTAATACTACACGATGAATAAATGACACGGACATGACTTTTTTTCGAGTTAAAAAATTAAAACTTGAGAGATATATTTTTATCAAGATGAAAATAAATTTATTTTCAAAAAAAAATTTAATGTCTATGCAAGCAATTTCAGATTTTAAAGAAATTTGTCATGTTTTAATTATTAAATAAACAAATAAATAAAAATATATACATGCATCTACTACATATACATACATATTGATTATAATTTAAATTAATCAAAATTTTCACTTAACCAACGTTCACAATCTAGCGCAGCCATACATCCAGTTCCTGCACTAGTAATGGCCTGTCTATACCTCTTATCTTGTACATCGCCTGCAGCAAAAACTCCTTCTACACTTGTATAGGTACTATTAGGTTTAGTAATAACATAGCCATCTTCATCCAATTCCAATTGACCTCTAACCAATTCTGTAGCTGGAGCATGACCAATTGCATAAAATAATCCATTAACTGCCAATTCTTTTTCTAGGCCAGTTTTTGTGTCTTTTGTCATCAAAGATTTGAGCAATTTACCATTTCCTTTGCACTCTATTGGAATAGTATTCCAAAGGATGGTAACCTTTTGATTTGACATTAATCTGTTAGCCATTACTTTTGATGCACGAAGTTTATCTCTACGAACAAGAACATATACATGTGATGCATATTTAGTAAGAAACATCGCTTCTTCTGCTGCTGAATCTCCTCCGCCAACTACTGCAAGTGGATTATCACGAAAAATTGGTACTGCACCTTTTTTAAAAAAATTGATATAATAAAAACAAATTAAATTAAAAAAATTAAGCAAACCAACACACTTATGATTATATATATATTACATACCATCACAAACAGCACAAGCAGAGATTCCCTTTTGCCAATATATATCTTCACCTGGTAAATTTAATCTTTTAGCAGCAGCACCAGTTGCAATAATAAGTGAATCAGCTGTATCAGATTCCTCGCTTTCTCTTCCTTCACGCCAATACTTGAATGGACGTGACGATAGATCAAGTTTTGTAATCGTTTCTGTATAAATTTTTGTACCAAATTTTATACTTTGTGCACGGAATGATGCCATCAATTCAGGTCCTAAGATTCCATCTGGAAATCCTGGATAATTTTCTACATCAGTGGTAGTAGTAAGCTACACGAAGAAGATTAATCGATTAGATTAATCATCTATTTTGATGACGCACTTATTTTACTTATTTATTTGAGAACTTACTTGACCACCTGGAGCAAATCCATTTGCTAAAAAACCTTCAAATAATACTGGTTCAATAGTAGCTCTAGATAAATAAAGTGCAGCTGTATGACCAGCTGGACCTGAACCAATGATAACTGTTTTAGAATGCATGTCGTTCCTTTGAAACTTTGTTATAGTAAAGGATAATGATAAATTATAATAATTACTATTATTATTAAGATTATTAAGATCAAAAAATATTGATTTTATTTTTACAGGAGAAAATTTTTTACATAGAAATTTATTAAGAATTTGATTTTTTGCAACAAAAAGTAATGACATGTGTAATAGATAAAGCCTTTTATATTGGGATTGATTTAATTAGTTAAATAACTTTGCAGATCATTCAAAGGTGTTGACCAATTATTTAATTGATCTGCAAATTAAATTTTTTTTTTAATCTGTTTCAAGTTATAAATTAAGAAAAGCATCATTAATTAATATTAGCTTAGTCAGCACAATGGAAATTCTATTTTGATCGACATTTGTAATTATCACATTTACATCCTAGTACTAGTAGAAGATTTTCTAAAAATTAAAGATTTAATTATAAGTTATGTTTTTCTTTTTTGCATAATGTACAAAGAAATATATTTGAATTTATTTACTAAATTTGTGATCTCACATATTAATATAATACCTTTTCTCCGCATTTAATATTTATGCATGTGAATTATGCATTTGTATATACAGTTCACTCCTCTATAACGAACCCCTCTGTAAGTAAAATATCTCTATAACGAACCCCTCTGTAAGTAAAATATCTCTATAATGAACTTCACTTTTGCCCCCGATTCATTTTTTTCTCTATAACGAACATCTTAGCAAACAGAAAAATTACATATAGAGAGTGAGCTGTAGTAAGTGGGAAACTATTCTTTTAATAAGAATCCCATGAAATAAATAAATGCTTAAAAATAATACATTACACTAAAAATAAAAAATAAAGTAAAACATACATAGTCAAATAAAAGCCAACATAAAAGATCCATATCAATATAATGAAAAGTCCTGGAAGAATTAATGTTATAAACTCTGTATGTAATTTGTACCTTTTACGCATCTCCATGAGTGTGATCCTAATGCTTTTAAATGTTATCAGATAGTAAAATAAGTGTAAATGTCATGGTGACGTTTTACCAATAGGTGTGTATCTTTTCCTGCCATTTTTCTTAGTGAAAGAGCGAGGGATATACATGTTTTTCTTATAATAATAAAAAATAGTGAAATAACTAACCTTAATAGTTTATTCTCTCGCATCTAACTCATCATATCATCCACATATATATATTATATTATTTGCAACTTTTTACTTCATATGTATTATTTGAGTTAGTTGCCTTCCGAAATTCTTGATATGTCACATTGTTATTTTTTGGTATAGTGATATATAGGCAATCATAAAATTTTCACATCACGCGATATTGTAAATTCTTAATAATTATCAAACCTTCTAATTCATAGGATCTAAAAGTTTATGTATATAATAATAATACGCAATAGTAAGGGGAATTGCATCATTTCCGTTCCTTGGAATATCATGTGACTTCACATGGCGTTTCTAGATTAGTGGCGCAGTAACTTATGTGATTTTTATTTAACAAAATTCAAGTTTTTTCTTTTGTTGTTTTTTCTTCGCAAAAAAGAAATTATTATAATATTCTGATATATAAAAAGTGGCATGGTTCTTTCAGCGATACTAAATCAAATCAAATCAAATTGATCGATTCTTGTTTAGATAATAGAGTGTTTATTTACACTCTTGCCTATATTAATATACATACATTTAATCAAGAATGTTCATGCCACGTGCGGGATTGTGTTACACAATACAAATTTGGTAAACTGATTTTTTTAATTGATTTTTTTTCATTTATATACATTTAGGAATTGCCAAATATATTGATCAAAACAGCATTAAATATTTTCATTGCCTAATTAACAAATAGATAATACATGAAAGATATTTGCATTTTTAATTTAATAAATAATTAAAGTTTAAAATCTTTGATTGTCATTCAATCTCTCTTGTACATCATCTCCATCATTATATCATTAACCTAAATCTCCAAAATATTTTTTTGCATCAATATAACTTTGTAAACCACCTACATCAATTCTTCCTTCAATTTTCTTGGCATAAATTTTGAACTTATTATTATTGATAATCCAAGCTAACAATTTTCCCGTGGCATCCTTATCATTGATGGTCGAATTGGGATTATTGTCTATAAACTTGAGAAATTCAGTTATCAAGTGGAGTGATTCTTGTTTGAGAAAGTAGAAACAAGGACATGCATAGCGTGATGAAGTCAGCGTTGGTCCAGGTTTTTCCAAAAATTTTGTTACGATGAATCTTTCTTCTTCTTCACCACCACCACCGCCGTCTTTTTTATTATTATATTTATAATTTTCAAGCGTTAGGATACCAAATTTTTTTGTTGACTCATCATCGACAGCATAAGCAGTGACCAAACATCCATCATTATTTGAATCAATAAATTCTTTATAAACTTTATCAAAATCAAAATCTCGTAAAAATAATGTATCACCACCAACTATCAACAAGTTGGAATCATCTAATTTAAAATGTTTTATTGATAATTCAATATCACCAACTGCACCCAATCTATTATCATTATCTGTTGTGCCATCATTAACAATATTTAGTGATGGTATTTTGTTTCTGTTGGCCCAATCTATAAAATCTTGGTGTGACTTATCATTTGTTACTAAATAAACATTTTTACTAATATCAATATTGGATTTCTTAAATATATCTAGCCAATGACTTATTAATGCATCTTTACCACCAAGTGGTAACAATGCTTTAGGTACTCCTAAAAGTTTTTGATAATTTTTATTAATATTAATATCATTATCATTACTATTATTGTTGTTGTCATTGTCATTGTCATTGTTTTGTTGTTGGTTTAATAATTCAATAATATCATGTTGAAGACGAGTTCCATAACCCGCTCCTAATATCAATATTTTCAAAGACATTTTTTAAATTGTCTGTTGGACAAAGCATAAAACTTAATTCGTGTTTCGCCAATCATGTGTAGAAATCTATTAATGATCTGCATATCAACGTATAAAACAATTTTTATTTCTGTTGTGAAATCGAAAATTTATAAAATTTTGGCGGGGTGTTTGGATATGAAATTTTGATTGGCTAATTTGAATTTCACGTACGTGGATTATGGATATTATTTATAACAAATAATAAAAGCTTTAATTAAAAAAAAAAGGATTTTGATAATATTAAAAAGAATAAAAAGGTAATGGCAAACATATTTATATTAAATATAAAAAAACTGAGCTTTAGGCAGAAAATTTATTGTTTAAAAGGTTTTTTCGTAATAAAAACCCATATTCTAACAAATATTAATACTTAAATTAAATGTTAATTAGGCAGGTTCGGGGATACTTAACCACTCGGCATGAAGCCTCAACTATGATTAACCTTTAAATTGGTTAACATAATATAACAAAAATTAATTTCTCTCAATTTTTATATGTAAAATCCTTGGAATCTGGCGATACCCAATATAGTAGTTAAAAAAAACAAAGATTTATAATATAAATTTTTTTATATTTTTGAAATTTTATTCTACCGAATAAAAAAAAAGTCTTGAAAAAAAAGTTTTGTTTTGGTGAACTTGGATGCAGTGTTAATGTGTGTTAGTTGAGCAGATTTTTGTCAATTTTTACTATGATAATAGATTCCTACATATACACATGATCGGTGGTGAGACACGAATTAAAAATTTACAGCTGTTGTGACAAATTTCGAGTGCAATATTAGAAAGATAGTAGTTATGTGCGAATTTTTTAAAATAAATTTTTTTTAGGATACTACAAAGTATGTGTCTTTGATTACAAGAAAAAAGTATTAAAATAGAATAAAATAAATAAAATCTACTTACAAAAAAAAAAAATAATATTAAGAAAATATCAACATATAAAAGGAATTTGAAAAGAAAAAAAAAAGTAAAAAATAAAAACCAATTTTTTTGAAAAAAATAAATATATTAATTATATTAATAAATGTAGGCAAATAAAAATAAAAAAAACTTGGATCAAAAGAATTTTTTATTTTTTTTGGGGATGGAAATATATAAAAAGGGGATAGGATGATAATTATAAAAAGATGATATAGTGTTTGGGGTTGGTGGTGAATGAATAATGAAAGAAAAAGATGATGAATTGATGAGATGAAGATGAGAAATGCAAAAAATGAGACAATTATTAGCCTACATTAATAATAATAATAATAATAATAATAAATATATAGATATTAATGATAATACTATTTATATATATATATATATATATATGATGAATGAAAATATTTTTATGAAAAGTGTGAACAAAACTAAAAAATTAATAGTAAAAAAAATATATATAAATAATAATAGTAGTAGTAAGAATAGTAATAGAAATAGAAATCACACTTTTTGCAATTCTAATAATAATAAAAATAAAAATAATAAGAATATGAAATATTATATTAATAATATATAATATTAATAATTAAAATAGTTATAATTGACCCATTATGTGAAGATCTTGTGATTATGAATTTACAAATGATTTTTTTAATTTTGAAATATTTATATTATTTTTTTTTTTAATTAATAAAATAAAATTAAATAATCTATCATAGCCTATAAATAAATATAAAGAATATCATTAATAACATACAGATATAAATAAACAGATTTATAAATTATAGATAAAGGAAAGACTTACTCGCTACATTTAGTATAAATCAACAAATAATATATATAATTAATAAAGAATTAATATTTTATATAAACAAAATGTATATTTATATTCATTTATAAATAAATAACTTACGTGAAAATAAAGAGGTTATTTGTTGCAGCCACAGCAATAGAATTTTCATTTGGATGCCATGAAGCATGAAGAATTTTTTTATTAAAATCAATATTATCTACATTAATCTCATCTTTTTTAACTCTTCCACGAAGTGGCTTACTCTTTGACCCAACACGTTTAGCTTTGAATGCACTTTTATCAGCTTGTAAAGAAATGTCAGTTAAACCTTCTTGATCATAAATATGAAAATAATTGTCATATGATCCTGTCAAAACATTTCTACAAAATATCATATATTCATGTTTTGATATTTAATATTATTAATTAATGTATTTTATATTTTTCATAAATAATTAATTATGCAACTTACTGTCCATCACCACTGAATGTGCATTCAAATTTATCAAAAATACAATCATTCTCATATAAATCACACAATTTTGTTCTTAGATGATCATGAATATTGATTGTTTTCAGTGGTTTGTTCTCCATATTTATATCCCAAATTTTCAATGTCAAATAATCACGGGATAAAATATATTTTCCATCTTTGCTAAACTTTACATCAGAAATAGATGAAATAATTTCTGAGAAAAATGATTTGTTGGCCGGATCTTCTTGTTCTTCAAACACTGATGTATTCAAAAAAAAATTAATAAATAATAATTATTGATAGTAACAACAACAACAACAACAACAACAACAACAACAACAACAACAATAACGATTTAATAACTAATAATTTAATATATATAATATTATCACTATTGTTCTCACTTTTTGCATGTTGATCACACAAAGCTGATATCCTCATGTCGCTTAATTTTATGGTTCCTTTACTGCTACTGTACATAAACAAATTACAATGAATTGGATGAAATTCTGCTGCTGTAATAACTTCAACAAGTTCTTCCATATTTGCTGGTTTGATATCAACAATATCTAAAAAACAACAACAAATAATAATAATATCCGGAGTAAAGGACAAAAAAAATATAGGAAATAAATAACAAACATATGTGTGTTTTATATTAGAGTAAAAAGGATACTAAAGCTTTGATCACTGATATTCAAGTTCCATAAGTTAATTCTCAAATCATCAGCAGATATATATGTCTCACCATCAGAATTGATGGATATAGAGTTGATATGATATGCGTGAGCATTTGCATATACTTTACGAGGAACAGCTGCAATGATCGTGTCATGTTGTGCAAGTTTTGGCAATCGAAGATTTTGAATTTTTCCATTCTGAGGCTTCAATCCATCACTTAAATTATTCTCTGCCACTACTTTCAACGATTTTTCAAAAACTTTCCATAACTTGATGGTTTTGTCTATGTTATATACAAGTATGTATACGTACATGATTATGGATATATAATAATTAATAAATACATATATTTAAAATCATCAATAATAATAATAATAATAATAATAATAATAATAATAATAATAATAATAATAATAATAATAACAATAACAATAACAATAATTACCATTAGTAGATAATAGAAAATGCGCAGAATTCTGTCGCTTACACCATTTAATCTTGTTAATCTTTTCTTCAATCTCTAAACTTTTAAGATAGTCGAATTCAGGTTCATGTGATTGAAATTCTGTATAGAATTTATATTCGCAACCTTTTTTCTATTCATCAAATAAATGATTAATTAGATCGATGAATAAGCAAACAAACTAACAAATTAATCTATGATACTTACCCCTTCATTACGTTCAAATAAGACCACACGCCCTCCTTTATCGCCAGTCGCAAGATAGTCACCGGTGTGGTCAAATTCGACGGTCGAAATAATATCAGCTACATATATTAAATATAGTTTTCAGACCTATTAAATCTCTATTGCAAAAGAAAAGGTGACATAAAAAATGATTCACGATCTGGATCGTAACAACAACCAACACTACTACACTACTACTCTTTGGTATATAATATAAACCAACACAAAAATGTACTTAAAAGTGCTATTATTATTATTATTATTAGTTATCATTGTTGAAGTTACTAATTCCCAAAAAAATGATTGATTGATATAATTGTAATAAAAATTTTTTCTTGGATCTAAATGATTGTTGGTTCATTTAATCAATAATTTTCTAATTGTTTCTTTCTCAATTAAATTTCCATCTATTCAACAAATTAACAATCAAACCTCAAATTTCTCACACGCACACATATATACATTTTCTCCCCTCCTCAATAATAATAATAATAATAATAATAATAATAATAATAATAATAATAATAATAATAATAATAATAATAATAATAATAATAGTAAATCAATTGAAACATTAAACAAAAACATTAATCTTGGATATATATTATATATATTGTGTATATATGTATATATTATATATATTGTATGTATATATGTATGTATGTATAGATATATATAATATATATATATCCATCTATGTTAATTAACCTTACACAATGAAAAGTTTTTTTTTTTGCTAAATGTTAAAATAAGATGTGTATTGTTGATGTATAGAACAAAAAAAGAAGAAGGAACAAAACGTTCATCACGACAAAACGACGACAATAACACTGACATCGTTTAGATCAAGTGTGTGATTTAAATTTCATCGAGGTCAAAAAGGACAATTACCTTCTGTAATGTCCTCGACCTCGCCTTTATCACCGAAACATTGAGCAAATTTCCAACCATTTTCTGATTCAGCCATATCTCGTATTATGTCGTATATATATGTAGTTATATATAGTAGTAAAAACCCCCTTATATATTTATATTTTTTTTTAAAAAAAAAAAATCAAAAAATTAAATTAAATAATAAACGAAAGAAGGAAAGAAAGAAGAAACAGTAATAGTATGAAGAAAAAGAAGAAGGGATGTGAAAGGAAAAAAAATTTTTCTTTTTTTATTTTTATTTTCAAATAAAGTAAATAGGAAAAAAAAAATTTTTTAGATTTTTTTTTAGGAAAAAATTAAAAAAAAAAAAGGTATGCGCGACCAAAAAGTATTAATAAATGCCAAAACTGTGATGCAGTAGTTATCGTTAGAAAGCTTAAAAAGTAGGTATTAGGTAGGTAGATATATAGTTAGAATAAAGGTACACGATGGGATGGATGAAGGTCATCAACACATAAGTAATGTTGTACCTGTAAGGTTTTTGGATAATATTTTATATATTTATATTTAATTTTTGTATTATTGATTGATTAGATGAGTTTTGATTGGATGAATTTGATAAATGCGATTGGACGAAATTGATATATTATTATTATAATAATTTTTTTTATTCAATTAGAAAAGTAAGAAAAATATAAATATCAATATATATATAAATAAAATAATCTATAAATTACTAGAAAAAATATATAAATAGTATTATTTGACCATAAACAATTATTAATAGATTTATTTTATTTTAATTTATTTTATAACAAAATCTTTTTCTTCCCCATAAATCTCGCATTAACTCCTATCTATCACCAAATAATTACATCCCATCGGTTTTGTTTTATAATTAATTTATTCCACCTCATCGGCTTCAGAATCAATATCATCATCACCTGAAACTTCGGCATTCTCTCTTGCCACACGATCCATAAGAGCGGCAAGTTCACGTTCATCGGTTTCACTTACTGCTTTTGGCTAAAATTTAAAAATAAAGGATTATATAAAATCACATAAACCATAGTAATATCAATGATACGATGGTTAATAAAATTTTTTAACTTACTTTCATTTTGACTGTCAAGGTACCATTTGATTTTTCAATTGTAGCTTTAATTGATTCAATTGCTTTTTCTAATGTTTCGATTCCTAAAATTTTATCCAAAGCGTTGGTAATCATAACATATAATGGAGGGGCAACTAATTTTACCTAAAAAAATAATTATTTTTGGAGATATTAATTAATGCATAAATAGGATAATACAAGTGACGACAACGAAAATGACCTTTATTTGAATATCATCTGTTTGACATGATTCACCAGCTTTGAATGCGGCTTTAATTGCATCAATTCCCTCATACCCAAAACATGTAACTTCAATATCTGATTAATTTTGGAAGGACGGTGAAAAATGTTAGAATTAATCAAAGAAAGAAAGATCAGATCTCATGCACGACACATACCAGATCGAATTTTAATTGGTTGAGGCGTTAAACGTCGTTTAATATTGTTTAATAATTCATCCATAACCTCTTTAGATGTTTCGATTCCTTCAAATACCTTTTCTGGTTCACTGATAATAAGAATATTATGAAGTATTTAGTAATTTAATTTACTCATTCCATTCATACATATTATTTTATTTGTAAATATAAATATATTAATTATTTACGTGATAGCTAATTTAAATGCTTCATAAGCATGTCCGTATTTTTTATACAGTGGCCATCCTATCTGCTTATAAAGATCTTCGAGAACTAGATCTTGTTTTTCTGCGACATGTCTCATTATACTATGAACCTATTAAATATAGTTAATATTTATTCGCATTTATTTATAATATAATGTGATCAATCATATAATAAATATTACAGATTTTGATTTATTAAATTTTTCTTCTGCTTTTGCAACATCTTCAGGTGAAACTCTACGTTTTGATAAATCAATATACCCTAGAATAAAAATAACACAATAAATAAAATAATTGATCAATATAAAATTCAAATTATTTCTTCTTCTTTAATCTTCGAAAGATTATTATTGACTGTATTAATTAATACACTTTAACATTAGATAACCAACCCTTTTCTTTATCAACTCTTAGTACTACTACAACTTCGTTTCTTCCAACTCTAATTAATTTCTGAATACTTCTGATACGTCTTCTTGATAACTCTGATAATAGGATCATACCTTCAATATTATCATATTCTAGCTACATACGTAGAATTTCATAGTTTAGCGAGTGAGTTTTTTTATAAAAAAGTTGCCAATAAGTAATTTGTAAGTTGTATAATAACCAGTTTAACATAGGCACCCATTTCGGCTATTTGTCGAACATTAACCATTACTAAATCTTCGACCTCGGGGTATTTTGCTTCGTACATACGACATTGAAATTGTTGTAGATTTGACATTTTTGGAAAATATAATTTTAAAAAGTTTTTTTGATGATGATGGATGATGAGTCAACATTTGTGATGTTGTTGTGTGTAACGGAAGCATAGAAACATTTTTTTGAATTCAAAAAATTTTTTTTTCATCGTCTATAAATAAAAATGATTAAAATATATACAAGTAATAGTGTAATAAAGTTCTCAAATAAACTAGAGACTAAAACTGAAGTAAGGTTTTTATTATTTGCGTATTGACTTTTTAGTTTAATCGAATTTATGGTGTAATATTTGGGTGTTTCTTTTTAAAAAGGAATACAGAAATCTTGAAGATATCGTAAAAGGGGATAAAAAAAATATAAATGAAGAAGAGGGCGAATACGAAGTCGAATCTATTCTAGATCATAAAACTAATGGTGTATGTATACTTGTGTGTGTGCGTGTGTGCGCGCACGCGCGCGCGTGTAGTTTAAATATTTATTTATTTATTATTTAATTTGGTTTTATTATATAAATAAATATAAAAATTTAGTCCAAATTATTTTATTTAGTTAAATGGAAAGGTATTTATTTAATCAAGTAATTAATATATATGAAAGATCTTTATATATATATAATGCATATGTGACTAACTTATCAATCTATAATGTTAGGTTATTCGGAAGATGAATTATCCTGGATTTATGAAGAAGATTTGTAAACATTTGAAATTTAAAATTTTTTTTAAAAAAAAAAAAAAAAAGAAAAAATTAAAAAAAATTTTTTTTTAATATAAAGATTTGCTGAAGAACTTATAAAACAGTATTGGGAAAAGGTTCAAAAATCAAATAATAATAATAGTAGTAGTAGTAGCAGTGATAATAATAACAACAGCAAGAGTTCTGGACATTATGATGGCGTTAATGATATTGATGATGTTGATGATATTGATTACGATTTTAGTTCAACTAGTTCTACCAAAATAAATACCAGAGCAAATGCCGGAACAGTTATATCAACAAAAAGAAACGCTGCCAAACAAGAATCCAGACATCGAAAATTTCCAAAGAAACCAAAAACAATAAAGGTAACATTGGATAATGAGTATGAGATCCTTATTATAGATGATAACTGGGAAAATAAGGTTGAATCAATTGAATCAATTGTTCGTGACGACAAAACCAAAGAATTGTTTGCTTATCTCAAATGGTATTAACATTTTTTTTTATTTGGCATCGTGAATCTACTACTATATTTTGAGATTTATATTGATCTTTTTAAAAAAATAAAAAAAAATAAGGAAAAATGGCAAAGTTTCAAGGCATCCAGCTAAAGAAGTTAATGCTAAATGTCCTCAAAAGGTATTATTTTTATTACCTTTTTTTAAAAAATATAGAGTTTAACATATATACTTTTTTATGATTTATTATTTAATATATTATTAGATTATTAGTTTCTATGAAAAAAGATTGCTTTTTGCTTCCTCTCCGTCGTCTTCTTCCTCTTCATCTAAACCAAAGAGTTGAAAAAAACATTCATTGATATATTGAATATATAACAATAATTTTCAATAGAAATTCTATTTATTAACAATAGATAGATTTCAATATCGTATCAACCAATTAATCCTTGATTTGAGTTTTCAGTCCTACATATATTTATAATTCTTAGAAAATAAAATATTTGTAAATCGCACTATAACGAACTTTGCTTTTCATATAATAATAATTTCACTTTATAGTGAACAAAGGCACAAATTCCCTGGATTTGCATCGTGTTACATAGTTTGGATGGTTATTTGTGGGATGCGTGTGATTGATTGTGTTTATTATTATTCGTTCCAATTGTTCAAAATATAATTAATTAATTAAAATTAAATAAACAACACTTTCTTCCTTTTCAATTTTTTCTGTTATTTTATACAATCAAGGAAAACAAAACTTTGCAAGTTTTCCCTCTTTTTATCAATATTAAAAATAATAAAATTATAATAATAATAATAACAATAAACAACAAAAAAATTAAATACCAAATTTCTTATTTCTACTTTTTTAAATTCGTACATTATTTACTTGTAACAACAGCTTTAACCTACTAGCTTTCTTTCGAATTTATATTTACATTCCTTTATCTACTTAATATATTAAAAATGTTGAATTCAAATAATTCTTCTACAACTTCTTTACATCAACAATTCGAAGAATTGTCGTTAACATCAACAACAACAACTAAAGAATCCTCTTTATCATACTCATATTCACCACCATCATCACCATCGTTTTTAGAAAATTTCGGTTTGCCTCCAACTTTTCAGTTGGACATTGAAGTTCCAGATTTTGTTCTAAGACGTAGAAATGCTATTGTAGAAGCTGTTTTAAATGCTCCTTTGGATCATTTAATTAAATAATTAAAAAAGTTGTTGAAGAAATAAAAAAATTTATATATATATATTAGAGAGAGAACCAACCCCTCTCAAATCTTGAATTTTTTTTTTTTAGAAAATAGATTATATTGTTATTATTATCACTATATTCATTTATTTTATTATTATTATTATATATTTTTTTTTTTGTATATTTTATTTTATTTATTATCATACATATCTTTAGATTTTTTATGTATAACATAACTCATTTAAAAACAAAAACATATCAACATCAAACAAAAAAGCAACAAAAACATACTCGGAACGTCGTCGTGAAAAACTTTTATCTAATCGTGGATATATTAAGCCTAGACAAGAGCTTGAAAAAGAAAGTCGTGAAAAAGGACTTGCCAAAAGGATCGACGAGGAGGACAACATTGAATCGCCTGGGTTGAAAATATTAAAAAAATGGGGATATAGAAAGGGGATGGCATTGGGCGAAAGTTCTAAAAATGAGGGCATAACGGAACCTTTGGGCATTGAATTAAAACAAGGTCATGTCTTTGATGATAAGCCGTGTGATTGTGTGTGTATTTTATAAGAGATTATTAAAAAAAAATCTTTTGCAACTTGTATATAAAGATAGACTTGGTTTGGGAATGTCTACAGAGCTTAAGCAAAAGGCCAAGGTGGAATATGAAAGAAAATCAAAGAAAATCAAAGTGGATGAAGTCACGTTTCGTGAACGAATTAGACAAGAACATCTTGATAAACGTATACGAGCGCAATTAAAAGCTTTACAAAAAATATGTGAAACTTTGGATACAAGAAAGGTTCTCAAACAAAAACAATTACTGATTAATTTTATTAATAGTGAAATTATATTAATGAATTTTATGAATTTTATTTTGATCAAATACATTT